TCGTGATTCCCTGGGTGGTTTGGCGGTTGCCATTCGTGACTTCAAGGGTGGTGTCGTCATGATCTCTCACAACGAAGAATTCGTGGGTGCGCTGTGCCCCGAACAGCTGCACATTGCCGACGGTCGCATCGTTGGCCGCACCAACAATGCTGTTGCTCTTGATCGTTTCGAGGACAGTGCCACCAGCACCCCTCAGCCCGGCAGCACGGCGGCCAACTCGGCCACCACCAGTGCCGCCGCCTCGGCGGTCAACTCGGGAGCGGAAGAAGGAGAGTTGAAGTTCAAGGCTCGCAAGAAGAAGAAGATGACTCGTGCGCAGATGAAGGAGCGCGAGGCGCGTCGTCGTCTGCGTCACCTGGAGTGGCTGCAGAGTCCCAAAGGTACTCCCAAGCCTCCGGACACGGATGATGAGGAGTAGAGAATGAATGACCGCGATGATTGCTGGATTGGCTTATAGACCTTTTTGTTTGCTTGATGACTGTCCATGAGTATATAGAGCTGTAGACGAGATTCTCAGCATAGAGCATCCATTCCGTTTTGGTTTTTCGATTTCCGTATGGAACACCCTTTAACCTAAGATACGTAGCAGGTTGCTGTAACCTACGGTAACTTACCCCGTCAATACCATACACAAAGTTGTCGTCATGCAGCCCCAGTTTCGACCCCACCCGGCGCGGATTGCCCGCGGCAGGAACCAATGCCAGAAAGCTTGCGGTGACAATCCCCTGGCCAGAACCTGCGAATTGGCACAATTCCCACAACTCCCAATCTCCCCAGTCCACTTCTCCCTCCTTCATCATCCAATCCCCATACATCCATCCCTTCGTCTCCATCTCCATCTCCCTCTCCCTCTCCATCTCCCTCTCCCCTAATTCAATGCAATTCTTTGCTCTCCTTTTTCTGACATGTCCTCTTCATCCTGTGCACCTTCACATTCGTTTGCATCCATCTGATCCATGATTTCCTACCACTTGTTCATAATCTAAAACTCCGCCAACAATGCCACCCAACCCGGGCCCCCCTCCTCCCTACCGGGACCACCTCAAACAAGACGCGCCCTCCCGCAAATCACTCTCCTCCTTCGCCCCGATCCCCGAAGAAGAATCCTCACCCTCCGCCGACATCGACGACCGATTCACCCTCTCCGACCTCTCCGATGCTGACGACAACCCCCGCAATCACAGTACAGGCGGCGGCGGCAGCAGCAGCAGCAGTCAGATCAAACTCCACCGCATCGACAACACCCACAGCCGCCACAGCTCCACCGCATCCAAACCCGCCTACGCCTACCCTTCCAGTACCAACAACAGTGCCCGCCCCTCGGACGTCGAAGCCTACCTCTCCTCCATCACCGCCGCGGAACGCGAGCTCCTGACTGCGGCGCATCAATTCGATCTCTCCGGTGAGGAGGGGGACAGCGACGACAGCGATGCGCGCTCCGTGGGCTCGGATGTGGGGTTGAGGAAGGGAGGCTCGAAGGGACGGCATCATCGGAGGCGATCGTCGACGTTCAAGAAGCATACGCCGCATATGGGGTGGGGGTGGACGACCACAACAAAATACTATTATCGGAAGGTCTGGTGCCGTGCGCTGCTGGTGGTCGTGGTGGTGTTGGGGGCGTTGGTGTGGGTGTTTTTGCGGTTTGCGGCGCGGGGCGGGTGGGATACGGGGAGGGTGGAGGTGGTGAGTTTTTTTTTTCCTCGTTGGTTACATGATTGCTACAAGTGTAAGAGGATGTTGGCTCATTGTGGTTTGCTTCGTTTGTGCAGGATATGCTCCCCTCCGAATCATGGTTTCCGACGCCGCAGGGTGGTGCCCTTGAGGATTGGGCGGATGATTATCGCAGGGCGGAATTGTTGGTGCGGAATATGACGCTCATCGAGAAGATCAACATCACGACGGGCGTCGGATGGCAGATGGGCATGTGTGTGGGGAATACAGGTTCGTCTTGATTGGAACACCCTGGCTTGGTGACTACGGGGAGATTAACTTTGAACCGCAATGCAGCGCCCGCCGAATTGGTCAAGTTTCCCTCGTTGTGTCTGCAGGACGGGCCGCTGGGGTTACGCTATGCTGATTTGATCTCTGCCTTCCCTGCTGGAATCACCACCGGAGCGACCTGGAATCGCGAGTTGATCCGTCAGCGGGGCGTGGCGTTGGGCGAGGAAGCGCGCACCAAAGGTGTCAATGTGCTTCTCGGTCCTTCTATGGGCCCCTTGGGGATGATGCCTGCTGGTGGTCGCAATTGGGAAGCGTTTGGGGCGGACCCAGTTCTGCAGGGTGTGGCCGCTGCGGAGACTATTCGTGGCATCCAGAGCACCGGCGTGATGGCTACGGCTAAGCACTACATCATGAACGAGCAGGAACATTTCCGCCAGCCCTACGAGTGGGGCATCGCAACGGCCCTGTCATCCAACATCAACGACCGTGCGCTACATGAGGTCTTCCTTTGGCCCTTCGCGGAATCCATCCGGGCTGATGTCGCCAGTGTCATGTGTTCGTACCAGATGGTGAACAACAGCCACGCCTGTGAGAACAGCAAGCTGCTGAACGGGATCCTCAAGGACGAATTGGGTTTCCAGGGCTTCGTGCAGTCCGACTGGTTGGCTCAGCGCTCGGGTATCAATAGCGCTCTAGGCGGGCTCGACATGAGCATGCCTGGTGACGGTCTTCACTGGGCGGATGGCAAGTCGCTCTGGGGATCGGAGCTGACTCGCGCCGTGCTTAACACCTCGGTCCCCATGGAGCGGTTGAACGATATGGTCACTCGCATCGTAGCTGCTTGGTACCACTTGGGCCAAGACACGTGGGAGCGACCACCGCCTGAAGGGAACGGTGGTCCCAACTTCTCCTCTTGGACCAACGACGAGGTTGGCTGGATCTATCAGGGATCCCCCGGTGATGAGACCTACGGTGTGGTGAATCGCTTCATTAATGCGCAAGGCGAGGGCGACAATGCCCACTGGATCATCGCGCGCAAGGTTGCGACCGAGGGGATTGTGCTCGTAAAGAATGACCGTCAGACCCTCCCGTTGTCCCGCCGCCCCACGACCGAGACGGGAGCCGTGTTTCGCGTGGGTGTCTACGGTGATGATGCGGGCCCCGCACAGGGTCCCAACGCCTGCGCCGATCGCGGGTGCAACCAAGGAACCTTGGCGATGGGCTGGGGCAGCGGCACGGCCGAGTTCCCGTATCTGGTCAGCCCCTTTGAGGCTTTGCAGTCCGCCTGGGAGACGGAGATCGAACTCAGGCCCTACCTCCGCAACGCGGTGATGCCGGCGGAGGTGGCCGACAAGGATCTCTGTCTGGTGTTCGCCAATGCCGACTCGGGAGAAGGCTTCATCTCCGCGGGCGGCATTCACGGCGATCGCAATGATCTGTTCCTGCAGAAGGGCGGCGACACGCTGATCGAGACGGTCGCGCGAAACTGCGCTGGGCCGACCGTGGTGGTGGTGCATGCGGTGGGTCCTGTCGTGGTGGAATCGTGGATCGATCTGCCAGGGGTTGATGCCGTGCTTTTCGCCCATCTGCCTGGTCAAGAGAGCGGCAATGCGTTGATGGACGTCTTGTTTGGCGTGGTCGATGCCAGTGGGCGGCTGCCGTACACGGTCGGCAAGAGTCTGGAAGACTACGGACCCGGGGCGCAGGTCTTGTATGAGCCTAATGCACCCGTGCCGCAGGTAGATTTCCAGGACGGGCTGTATATTGATCATCGGTATTTCGATCGACACAACATCACGCCACGATTCGAGTTCGGGTTTGGATTGTCGTACACGACGTTTGAGCTTGCCGATCTTCATGTCCAGGGGCTGCAGTCCAAGTCCCGTCTCCCGGCGTCTCGACCGCCCCAGACCGTTTTCCCCCCCGGGTACGACGCGGAGCCTCCACGCAATGAGTCGGTGCTGTTCCCTGCAGAGTTCCGGGCGGTCCCTCAGTTCATCTATCCGTACCTCACGTCGATGGATGGCACCGCGGCGGCCAACTACACGCACTACCCGGAGGGGTACGACCGACCGCAGCCGTTATCGCCCGCCGGCGGAGGGTTGGGCGGGAATCCATCGCTCTATGACGAGGTGGTGAATGTCGAGGTTGAGGTGCGCAACACAGGCCCGCGGGCGGGTCAGACCGTGGTGCAGGTGTATGTCTCATTTCCTGGGGACGTGACTGAGGATGGCGACTGGGTGGAGGTGCACGAGGGGGCGCGGCGGTCCAGCAAGGTGAAGCTGGAGCGGATGCCTGAACCGATTGAGTTTCCGTTGCGCGTGCTGCGAAACTTCACCAAGGTCGCGCTAGAGGCCGGGGAGAGGCAAACGGTGGTGATGACGTTGTCCCGGAAGGACCTGAGTTACTGGAGTGTGCGGGAGCAGAATTGGGTGATGCCGGATGGCGAGTTTGCGATCTGGGTCGGGCAGAGCTCACGCGACCTGCCTTTACGAGGGGGATATTGAATGTTTCTGATATTCGTGATGAGTCCGTTGCCCATTGGGAATGGTGCCGAGTACATGAGCAGTACATTGTGATGATTAGTAGTGAGACACACATTAGACCTGAGGCAGAAAGGCACCGTCGCAAGGACATTGGAGGGGAACCTCGGCGAAATTCGGCGGAATCCGAGACATTCAAACATTATACAGTTACATTGCATGCAGTTAGCATTCGTATATATGTATATGTAAAGAGAAACTTGCCGATTTTTGAGGTTGCCTGGTTTTTTTGGTTTGTGATGTCTTAGACTAGTTTTAGTTGGAGGTGTTCGTGAATATTCTGCAGCCATCGATCGATATTCGATCGAGTTTAGCCGTGGGACCGGGACTGACTGCGCCAGAAGCGAAGCAGCGAATGATGTCATGGCTTAAAATAGTCCTTTGTGTGAAGGGATCCACAGGGTCCAGCGGCAGCTTCGGGTCGGGTTACGGGTAAGACGGTTGCTGATGAATGATAACCTAAACAGAATGTCATTTGGGGGGGGGAATTGGGGCATTGTTCGGCCATTCCCCAACTTCCCACGGAAAACAAAGCTGCAGTGCCTAACAATCAATACGAAGGCGAGTGAAACCTGGTCAACCAGTTCCCAATGTGACTGAAGGGGGAATGTCCCCGAGACACACTCCGCTGATCAGCAGATGGAGTGGGGATGTTTCACTCATCGCGTTGCTAAACCCGCATAGTAGAGTTGCTAGTTAGCCACGAATCAGTGAGTCCAGTGGCACAAGGGACGGATTGGCATATAAAGACCTTTCTTTCTTCCCCGGGATATCTTTTGTCAGTACACAATCCACACCAACCATCGACTAAGTATCTTTACCATTCACACACCCTCCCAACCACCACCACCACCACCATGAAGCTCCTTGCCCTCCTCTCCGCCGCCGCCGGTGTCTCGGCTCTGCCCCAAACCCAGCAGGCGCAGGCCAACTACAACTCGTTCTCGGTGATGTCCGCCCGCTCCGGCTCGCCCGTGCACCTGCTGCCCTTGAACGCCGCCTCCGGGGGCTTCTACCTGGGCCTGCAGAACGCCTCCAGCTACTGCCCGGACCAGGTCGCCAAGCTGGGCGGCTGCCCGCCCGGCACTGAGACTGTGTTCGATGCCGGTGCCAACTCTTTGGTACTGCCCCCCCCCCTTTCTCCCCTCCCTCCTCTCCCTCCACCAACCCTATACAATCAAACTAACCAGAAAAAAGGACGTCTCCGTCCCCGGCGGCCAGCAGGTCTACATCGCCCCCAGCGGCGCCCTGGCCTTCACCCAGCCCCACTCCGCCTACGTCCCCGCCGGCTCCGTCGTCGGCGCCTTCAGCTACTCCCAGACCGCCGGCTCGACCTTCGGGTATTGGACCCTGCCCAACAGCGGCCTGATCGCTTGCCCTGTCCCCGCCGCTGTCTCGTCGTCCGCTGCTGCCCCGTCGGCCACCCCCGCTGCGGGTGCCGCTGCTGTCACTGCTAGCAAGTGGCAGGTCTTCGCTGCTTGGAGCAACGCTACCGTTCCCTCTGGGAATGTTGGTGACTGTCTGGGCTTTGATGCGTTGGCTGTTGGTCGCAATGGGAGTGCGGCTGCTTGGGAGTATATCTAAACTGCTTCCCGTTTGGCAAAATGGGACTATACCCATGGGTGAATGTTTATAACCGAGGGAATGTGGGGAAGGGAGTGCATGATTGGTAATGGATATGTATATGAATATTGGTCGGGGAGCAGGCCCTGTGTTTATAATGAATTATGCTTCCTTTTTTGAACTGGGGTGTGATGAGGTGGTGGTAGAGTACTGTGTTCGTAGTTGGGTGTAGTTGGGAAGTTGCTGGTTTGGTCTCTGGGTTATCTGATTAAGATTAGGTTTGGGGGACACGGGGTGGAGGTTAGTGGCTTGTGGTTAGCCACCTTCTCTCTGAGTTCTTCTAGTCTGGGGTACTATGGGTGTGCTGCAAACTGTAGGGTCTATCCCTAGCATCATATTTGATACCCGGTGTATTAAACAAAAAGTCAATGATATCTGTAGTCGTGTCTCGTAATCCGTGGATCATCCCTGCCTTGCCAACTCTTCCTCTATGCCCACCACCTCAAACCGTCTCGATATACCGCCTCACCTCCCTACAATCAAATTAGCACAGCCCACAAGAAGCCCAGAGACAGAAAACCTACCAATCAGTCACCGCCTCCTCCCACAGCCGACACTCATGCTCGCGCGTCCCGCCAAAGTGCTCCACGAACGCATCCCCGAACACCTCGCGCGCGACACTACCCTCGCGCAGGAACGCGCCCACCGCCTCGCGCAGCGACTTGGCCAGCCGCACGCCCTTATCACTCGCGCCGCCCATCTCCTCCCCCTTGGACAGCGGCGGCACGGGGAGGGCCAGCTTGCGCGCGACGCCGCGCCACCCCAGCGCGACGATGGCCGCCAGCACGAAGTGCGGGTTGGCGTCGGCGCCCGGCACGCGCACCTCCAGCCGCGTCGCCTTGGGGCTGGCCGTCGGCGGCGCGATCACCCGGACCGACGCCGCGCGGTGCTCCAGCCCCCACGAGACGGTCACTGGCGCCCAGAAGTTCTCGACCAGCCGCTTGTACGAGTTCACCGTCGGCGCGAACAGCGGCATGATGTCCGGCAGCCCGTCCAGGATCCCCGCCAGGAAGTGCCGGCCCAGGTCCGAGAGGTGGGCGACGTCCGGGTACGGTGGGGACGGGTCGGGAGTCGAGCGGTGGAAGGCGTTGGTTCCGTCTGGCGAGACGAGGGAGATGTGCATGTGCCCGCTGTTGCCGGGGAGGCCTTCGCGCGGCTTGGCCATGAAGGTCGGCGTGATGCCGTGTTTGGTGCCGAGGGATTTGACGACGTATCTACGGGGGTTTAGTCTGGGGGTCTAGCTGGAATGCAGGAGAGGGG